TTGTGTCTCTGCACCATGGTGTGAACTAGATCTCAAGCTATCAAATGGCTGATGTCATAACTGATCACATGTGCAGCATCATGACACTTGCAGATCAAACAGGGGCTAAGATGGCAGCTTCCTTGGCTGAAAAGGGTAGGAGGGTTTAGTTCCACTTTAAAGTGGATCTTTACCCATAACAAATTTTATAAAAAAAAATGTTTTAGAGCAAGGAAGTGTTCCACATTAATAGTTATGCTAGCAAAAGCAGTGTGTGCTATAAATTGCCTTCAGCATTGTTCTTGTTTCTTCTTGTTGGAGTCTGCCATTTTGTTGAAGCTTAATGCCCCTGCGTAGCAGTAAATCATTAGGCTGTCAGCAGATCAGCCTCTACATTTTTGGCAGTTCCATAAAATAGAGAGCGACTGAGCATGTGCAGAGCAGGGCGAGACAGTATAGGCCTTATTTTTTAATGTTTTATCTGCAAAAGGAGCAGCCTGAAGTGATCTAACAGGACTTAATTTTCTGACTAAAGTTCCACTTTACTGCCAGTCAGATTTCCAACTGTCCCGTGTCAGGGCCAGGGGTGGACTGACAACTCATGGGGCCCCCGGGCAATAGGGGATCATGGGGCCCCTGTGTCCTTGCCTAAACTTAAAAAAGCCTATGAAAAAGGTACCAGGAGCATCTCATGGGGCCCCCCACTGACCCCAGGCCCTCGGGCAGTGCCCGAGTTTCCAAATGGTCAGTCCGCCCCTGGTCAGGGCACATTGTATGATGTTGGTGGCTTCAGAGAAATAACAAACCGTTCTTTTAAATGCTGAAACTGAATTCTTCTTTTTTTTCCACATTCAAACCTATGCTGATTATGCATATATTGATTTTTTTTTTTTTTTTTTTTTTGAAAATATTCATTTTTAGGTTGATTGGAAAGTTGATGGGAAAATTCAAAAGAGCAGAATAGAACACTTTTCTCGATTTGAATTAATTTTTGGACCGTGTATGTAGTTTTCATTTGGAAAATACATTAATTTTAAAATGCAAAGTTTAAAAGCAAGTGAAATTTTTAAACAACATTCATTGAATGTACAAAATATTTTCATATGAATATTCTCATCTGAAAATCTATAAGTGTATGGCAAGAATTGCACATAGGAAAAAAAAACAGTTCTGTTTGACCCTGAAAGATTTATTTTTCCAGTGATCACACAAGAATTCCTTTTTCAGGTATTTAGAAAACTGAGGATAAGTAGTTTATTTAAATGGTTATTTCACCTTTTTCAAGAAAACCTGCTTATTGTGCAGGTATGGAGTGTCTGTAGATGAAAACAAACTGTTCAGCTTTGACTAAAGTTGAATAATGCCCTTGCTGTAGGTGAAGACCTCCCAAATGCTGACTGAAAAACCCCCAGAGATGGCATAATTCTATTCTGCCTTATTGCTAGGATTTTACTAAGACACCCCCAGTCACTACAGCCTGCCTGTACCATCATGGGAGCGAGCCCCCAAATCCCTCACATATGCTGTCCATCATTCTGAGCTCAAAGCTGTGACAGGAGAAAGACAGCGCGTGCGTGAGGTGGGTTGAATCTGCTGGGAGTGTCTTAGCAACATCCTGGCAACAAGGCAGGATAGGATGATGCAATCTTTGGTTGTTTTCTGCCAGGCTTCAGGAAGTATATATATGGCCTACACCTCTAGCTAGAGTATGATTTACTTTGGTCAAAACTGCACAGTTTGATGTACTCTTTAGGTGCCCTTTTACCTGCATGGGCATTTTTTGTAGAGGCAAACTAACCGTTTAACGTTCTGGAGTCCTTGGGAAAGACATGTAGTAAAGTCATCTGATGGAATAGCACCTTGTATGGTGTCCTTTTATGAAACCGAGATCAGCGGCTATCCTAAGGATTGTTGCTGATCTCAGATCATTAGTGGTTTAGGAAACAGAGATGATCAGTGGAGAACATGTTCTCCGCTGATCATCTCAGCACACAGATGGCCAGTATATGAAGGAGTGATGTCAGCCCTTCACTGGCGATCTGTGTTCCCTCTCCAGATTCTCCAGCCCAGAGGTGGAGAATCGGAGGAACCACAAACGAAGCAGCGGTTATTTACTGCTGCTTAGTAAACTGTGTTTGACTGATCTTTACTGTAATCTCGCGAGATTACGGTAACAGCATCCGTTTTTTCTAGCGTTCAAAGCGTTTGTAGATCTCTTCTCTCATTTGGAGAAGCGATCTACACCGCTTCATAAAAAGGCACTCGGAGGAGAACGGTCTCTTCCTGAGTGCCAGAGAACCGAGCAGCGGTCATTTACTACTGTATGATAAAAGAACACCTATGTTCAGTAAGAAAAAAAAAAAAAAAACTTACAATGTGCTGCAACCCATTGACCTCATCAGACATCTTTTTATTGAGTCAACAACAGTAACTGAAATCAGGCCACAATAACTTGAGTTTTAGGGTCATTCACACAGACGTGTTTAGTTTTATAAAATTTTTCTTGGTGTAAAGTTTTCAAAATTTTAAATCTGTGGACACCCTACTGACCTTGCCCACATTTATCAGAGGTAAAGCGGGGCAAAGCAGGGGGTGGGGATAATAGCAAATGTGAATCATTCTTCATTTAGGTGGCTGCCAGCAGAGGACTCGCCCGTCATATTCTAGTTGAGCATTTTAATGTCACAAAGTGCCATAGGTGTCTTCTGCTAATTTAGGCACACAGCACCCCCCTTTCCCCACCTTTAACACTGTGTACAGGGCAGGTGTCCCTCCTGGATGCCCCCTGGAGGTCAGCTTTAAGGGTGTACAGCATTATGGGCAGTCAAAAAATGCACTTGATCAAATTGAAATCCTGCAAATGAATCAAATCAAATGAATCTATAGGCAAATCTGAACCTCATCCCTACTGAAGCGCAATTTTAAGGGCTGCAGGAAAGCGTCTGGAAGCTTGTTGAATCCTTCCTGAACCTGATGTTTTCATGCTAGTGTTTTCAAGCCAAGGTGAAACTGTGCCAGTGTGCCTGGGGGCTTGTGCTACCTTACTGAATAATTCCTTCCTGACTTTACAAAGAATTTATAGAAACTAGTTTCTGGAAGACTTATCTGTATGTTGTTCCTTTTTTTTTTTCATCCCAGGCCAGTTTTTAGGTAGTTTTTGCTTTATATTGAGATGTAATGAAGGTGTGGATAAAATATCTGAAAGATGCATATTTTAGAAAAGAATCATTTCTAAAATACATCTTGCAAAGTATCCTACCTAGTAATTCTGTAGAAGATCTGAAAGGCATGTCCTATTGGTAAGGAAAATATCAGCTGGAATTCACTGTTTTAATCGCATAGTAGAACTGCCTTTTCTTACTCAACAGTCACCAATCAGATGCCAGCCCGTACTGAGAAATGACATTTTAAGAATAGATTTGGCTGGTTGCTATGAAATAATATGAAGAGTTTTTTATTTCAAACTATTTGATAATTAGAGACTACTGAAGGACCACAAAGGAGAGCTCTAGGTCCTGGGCATGTATTACCTTCCATGCATACAAAGTGGTTCCTATTTTCAGCTACACTTTTTCCTTAAGAGAGGAGTGTCTCCAGACATTTAGTATGGTTAGCTTCCACCTCGTGTGCTAACTCAACCTGATTGTTGCTTTTTCTTTTCTTTTTTCCTTTATACGCTATTAGTCATGTTTGCTATTGCAGAGGCTATAGAGCTTGTTTAAGGTGAAACAAATCCTTTGTTTGCAGTATTCTGAACCTGTTCTTCTAGTTGCTTCCCTAAATGGATTACCACTGTTCACTTCCTGTTAACCATGCAAGTCTGGGTGTAGTTGAAAAACATGTGACCATACCATAAACTGTCACTTTACTAGGCTTTTGTACTCCATAAATGGTTATGTATAAATAGCTGTCAACACGCACACAGCCCCAGACAGCTGAGGATTTCCTTGTTCAAACATTTCTTATTTTTACAAAAGTCGTATGAGTTAATTTCTGCATTGTTAAGTAAATGGAGGAACTGGTAACGGAATCCTTTGTGTTTGCCTTCTCATTCTATTGCTAGCCCTCAGCCCATAATAAACTAGCAACGTTAACAATGGTTATGAAAGCATCAGCAATCATTATACGTTCTTTGATGGTTGTAATGTAATGGTCTGATGTAAAAGCAACCTTCAAATGATCAGAGGCTTGTCTGTTGGCCAGCTAAACATGTACACTTGGCTTTGAAAGTTCTCAGTTATCCAGGTCATTGTTTATCTGGTGGTAGTTGCTTACATTCAACTGAACATGTTCTATAATTTTGAAGGTAGGGTTGCACAGATACATTTTTTTTTTTTTTTTTTTTTTTTTTTTTATTGGCGAATACGAGCACCGATACTTGTGCTCAGGTGTTCACCGATACCTGTGCAGTGCGATATGAGCCCATACAAAATGGGTGCAAATCGTACAGGCAAAGAATCGCATGTGATTTGAATAGGAATGCGATCCGATTCCTGTCCAAATCACATGCGGTTTCCCTGTGGCTGTGGTGTGATTTACAATGCAAGTTGAGCCTATTCATTGTGTATGGGCTCAAATTGCACTGCAAATGTATTGGTTTTAGGTATCGGAGCATTTTCAGGAGTATGAGTACTCCTGCAATTGCTTCGTATCAGCACCGCCACTGGTATCGGTGCAACCCTAGTTGAAAGCATTTTAACAAATAGCTTTCTCACTTTAATTAAGGAAGCTATTTGGATTAATGGCAAAACTGCTTCAACATTAAAGAACAAATCCAGTTGACTGACTACTATAGGCCATACATGTTTGGCTGACCACATTGGTGTGTCTGAATTGAGGTGGGAGCGAGGGTAGTCTTCTGCAGGTACAGGCTTATTACAGGGCAAGTCTAAGGTTTGGACAGTTATGTTCTCAGTTTATGGGGTATTTCTGCCCTGATGGTGGTCAGATTGGGCCTGCACAGCCAGCCGCCTCTAAAACTATATTTTTGCAAATTACACCATTAATCATTTCCTATTCAGATAAAGATGAAGAGGAAGATGGAGATGTTGTCGACTCAGGATTTAACCCACTTATGCCAGGCGTTCCTGGTCAGACGGAAAATCAACTCGCTCGACGTCTTACCAAAGGAAAGAAGACCAGGAGGATTCTTTCAAACAAACCTCAAGACTTCCAGGTAATGGGGAAAAAACATAAGATGTGTCTACTTGATGAAGAAATTAAAAGATCACTATCTAGAAAGCCTACATTCAGATAATCTTTGTGTTTTTGTGGGTTTTTTTTTTTTTTTTTTAAACTTTCAAGCAGTGTTTTTTTAAGGAATTATTTTGCTTAAAAACTATAGAGTTAATGTTCATGGGTGTTAATGAGATAGCCCTCTTCTAATAATTTACTCGCCTTTCACTCATGCAGTTTAGAGTAGACCTGACCTATCACAATTTTCATTCTACTGTAAGCAAAATCTTTTTACCAGAAGTAGAATTTACATACACAATAACATTGCAATTGTGCAAGTTAAGCTGGCCATACACTTTTTTTTTTTTTTCTTTTTTTTTTTTTTTTTTTTTCGATCAGCAGCTGGATTCCCCTATCCACACAAGCAAGGTGAATGGAGGAATCCTCCCCATTGTGGTGTTGTATTTTGACAGCAGGGACTCCAATAAGCTTGTTCATTGGATCGACTTCTTACAAATTGGGAACAGCTATAGGTGTATTGCAAGCTAGGCCGGTCCCTGCTGAACTGGCCAAAATTCAATCCATCTATGGCAGCTTTGGAATCCATATCATATGGCCCTGCCACTCACAACATTGAGAAGAGTCCTCATACCTTGTCCTGTGGTGTCACTATCTTTCTGGCTACCAGCAAGATGTTCGCTATTGCTAGCATTTGCAAAACTGCAGCTTTTGGTCAGCAGGGGAGTGATTTGGGTGAAGTGACAACTGCGGCATGTTAACTGTCATTGGTGGGTTGTCGCTAGCTGCAGAATAGCCAACATGACATAAAACTTAGACCCCCACCATTGACATTTTGAGATTACTTACATTTTTGACATTACCTAAATATCCAGACTATATTGTAGTGTAGTTTTAATCCCAGCACATTCTTGTTTTCCTTCAACGTGAATTGATAAAGCACAGATATTTTGATTGGATTATCTATATAAACAAATCTTACAGGTTTTCATCCATTTACAGCAGTCAAAGGGTGTGCTCTCTACATAAAACTGCAGAGAACACTTTGATTAATGGTCTTGTCACATGATTTGCCGTGTAACTGTTTTCCTTCTACTCCCAGAACTATTCTCCCCTTATGGATCTAAATAAATGAGCAAGCAAAGTTAATTTGTAAACCCAGTGCTGTGATCTATAAGTGGGCCAACAGTGTGATGGTTTTTTTTTTTTTTTTTTTTTTTTTTTTTTTTTTTTTTTTCCTTTTTTTGGCAACTGTTAGACCATACCACTGCTTATTAAATTGGATCATTTTAATTTTCCTTGGTGAATATTTGTGTGACTACTTTATTTAACTAGGATGAGGCCACATTCAGATATTGCATTGTGGGAATGAATGTTCCCGCATACAATTTTTTAAAATGTGATTTGCATGCATTTACATGTCCTTTTTTAAAGGATAAGTTCACCTTACTACAAAAATAACAAATGCACATTATTTTTTTTTTTTTTTTTTTTGCAGGTAAAAAAATGTGCATGAATTTTTTTTTTTTTTTGTAGTAGGAGCCTGTAAAGCATTGCACCTGCGATCAGCAGATCGCTGATGCCATGTAGGTCTTCAGCAGACTATCAGTGTATGTGCTTGCTCATACATCCTGTACTGGCAAGCCGATCCTTCTGACAGGAAGACTCAATGAACTATCTCAGTGCTCCGAGCGCCATGGTAGTTCATTGAGAAGTACAAGCCGACAGCCGGTAAGGCTGTCAGAACTTGTAGTCCATTCATTCTCAGAATGTGGGCAGAGCCTGTTTTTAAATAGTGATGGCTAGTACGGGGAACTTCTCCATATACTGCTGTCACAGGGAGGGAGGGGATCGGGCAGTAGCTGCAGGATCGGGAACATGTTACATGTTCCACACTAAAAACGGGTGAAACTTGTAACATGTTCCCAAAGGTGAACTTATCTTTTAAGAGAAATGGCACCCAAACACATTGCATGCTTTGCTGCAATTTGGACTCGCGGGCAGAATTGCAGCAATTCTGCCTGCAATTCCAAATTGTCATCCCTAGGACCCTGTTCACACTAAGCAAAGTATAAAAAAAACAATTTAAATGCAATCACCTGCATTGCATGGGACAGTGCTCCAAAATGGATTAGTAACAATGATTAGTAACAATTTATAGCATAGTGGATTAAAATGGTCACTAGTAACTCCACTTTTGGTATCTTTATTTTTTTTTTCTTTATAAATGTTCAATACGGAGTTTTGTTTGTCCTTTCAATACTTTCTTTGGCTGAAGGTGACTATAGTCATGGTGAATTCTAATAAAATGTTTTTAGCATCCACACAAAATTTCAGCAATACATTTTTCTAATTTTTTTTTTTTTTTTCTCAGATTCGGGTTCGGGTGATTGAGGGACGCCAACTGTCTGGTAACAACATAAAACCAGTTGTGAAAGTTCACTTATGTGGACATACCCATAGGACAAGAATCAAAAGAGGAAACAACCCCTATTTCGATGAGGTATGTTTTCCATTGACTTCCAGCAATGTGTAATTCAGCTGCTATGCACTTCACCATCTGGAGTATGCTACCTAGTGGAATGTTGGTGAAACGACCATTGTTGGTCTTTAGAATTTATCTTTAAAAAGATCACACTAGTAACATCTTATGTTTCAATATAAACCGTACCAGAATAAATTTAACATGTCAACCATTTTTGCCTATATATATATAGGCAAAAATGACAGACATGTTGCTTTAAAAGAACATGTAAAACTCTCTAAACATTATATTTTTTCTGACAGCAGACACCCTAGAGCAGTGTTTCTCAACCTTTTTTCGGTCAAGGCACCCTCTAAAATTATGGATAGTCCCAAGGCACCCTTTAAAATTATGGACAGTCTTGAGGCACCCCATTCTAAAATGTAAAAGCTATTCCAATAGTTTTATATAACGCAGCAATATCCACACACATAGGACACCCAACATTAGAGGTGATTTATTCTTTTAAAGCAAGTACACTGTTGCACACTGGTACTGACTAGTACACCAATGTTTCTCTTCTCCCTCTGTTTTTTCTCCATCACTGAGCTAATTTAACCCCAGCACTGACGGAGAGGGGCAGAGGAGGGTCAAACAAGGATGCTGTGCAGGCAATCGCCATCCTCATCAATTGATGTCATTGGTTGTTAGGATGCCGGCGGCTAGAAGGTCGTAATGGTGCACAATGAAAAATTATGGCTTTGTGAAGCTAAAATGCAGGCTTATTCCACCCGCTGGCTTGGACAATTTTTAGACTTTTTGCCAAGGTATGCCTGAAGAAACCTAAAGGCACCCTGGTTGAAAAATGCTGCCCTAGAGAATGATTAAAGTAGTTGCAATTTTTTCAAATCACATAATATTAGTGCATTAGTTTATGAAATGAAAAGTTTTAGGGCACATAAATACAACTCATTTTTTTTTTTTATGTAAAATATAAAAGATGACGTTGCACTGAATAAATAGATAACATGTCAAGCCTTAAAATTGCGTGTGTGAAATGGTGACCAACCTTGGTACCTTTTTATAATTGCCACTTTGAAGCAGGTTTTCTCAACCAGGGTTCCATGGAACACTAGGGTTCTTCCAGAGGTTGCTAGGGGTTCCTTGAGTAATTTCTGTGTCTCAAATAAGTTCCCACTGACACCAATGATCTTTTTAGCAATCTGTAACTGGGTAATTCTTTCCAATGACCACAAGTGTAAGGAACATTCTTTCCACTGACCATCACACTAATGTATTATGAATTGTAGATTGTCATTTTTTTCAGGGGTTCCCTAAGACTAAAACGCTATTTCCTCTTGTTGAAAAGGGTTGAGAGGCTGCTTTAAAAAATAAGTTCACCTTCGGAAACCTGTTACATGTACCCACTCCTGCAACAGCTCGGCAATCCAAGCCCTGTGCAACAGCAGTACAGGGAGATGTTCCCCATACCAACTATCACTTTTGGAATATAGCAGGACCGTGCTATATTCTAGTTCTGTGAATGATTCAACTAGAAGTACCGACATCATTTGCGGATGTCGGCTTGTAGTTCTCAATGAATGACCACGGCACTGTTAAGCACTCTGGTAGTTCATTGTTTCTTCCTGTCAGTGTGAAACTGCCTGGTCCTACAATGAATGGGCAAACCGCTTACCCTGACAGTCTGCAGGAGTCCTGCATGGCACCAGCAATCTGCTGATTGCTAGTGCAATGCTCTCCTGGCTCCTAAAAAAGAAAAAAAAAAGGCACTTTTTTTTTTTTTCTTATTACCTGCAGAAAGATGTGCATTTATTATTTTTTTAAAGGTGAACTTATCCTTTTAAAAGCCTCTACAGGTCATCAGTTTAAAGTTAACCATGAATAATGGGCCTAGAGTTATTCTCGCGTGCCCGGTAATATGTAACGTGCAGGACAATCAAGTTTTTCTGCGTAGGCAGCCCTGACACATGCATTTACATTCGTATGTGGGGGAGGCAAAATATTATTTGCAGGGATAGGGATAGGAAGGTGTAACCTTCAATTTTTTTTAAAACCGCTTTTACACTTTAGTAAAAAAAAAAAAAAACAAACTTTTTTTTTCATCACATAGGGGACAGGTTGGTGACAGGTTCTCTTTAATGGGGAACTAAACTCTGCTTTAAAAAAAATTCAAGTATGTACAACTCAACTCCTCTCATATAAATTTCTGTCACTTTAAATTTCTGCAAAGAAGGGTTCTATTTAAAGTGAACCTGAGCCTTGCCCATTCGGGTTTAAAGCAACAAATTCACTTTAATGCTGGCCCTACCTGCTGCACATTCTTTCCTCTGCCATTCCATCACTTTGTTCACCCATGGGAGTGAAGAAGTGAAACCTTGTGGTGATATGAAGCTTACATAAGGCCAAAAAAACTCTACCAGCTCCCATGTAACTGTGCTGGGTGTCTGAGTGGCAAAATGTGAAGCACCGAAGTTGTTGTGGGGGGGAGAGGAGTTCCTTGTACCTGAAAGTACCCAGAATATCGCTATACTATACTTCCCTGTGTAAAATGAGCAGCGGGGGGAGTGAAAGAAAGGCAAACATTTGCTGCTGATGGGGCAAGTATTAAAGTGAACCTGTTCTTCTTGTATAAGCAATCCATAGATTAAAATAAAACCAAAAAGGTTTATTCCTTTGTTCTGCCCAATATCCCTTTTTTCATGTTATTTTAGTAATATAAATGTCTTCTGAGCTTATTTTGGGACCATAGACTGATGACAGAGAAAGTGATAGCACTGTATAAATTATTACAATAGAATTTTTTATTTCCAGAACATTTTTCAGAGTTTTTCTTAATGGGCAGAAGTTGCTAGGAATTTAGAAGGGTAAAACCACTTTTCTTGTTAAAGATCTACTTTCTATAATTCCTTCCATCTCTTTAGATATAGTCTATATGAAAAAAAAAAAAAATCTTTTGTAAACACATTAGAACTTAGGGATGAGCAAAGTCATGTTTGGATCCCAGTCTGAGCCAACCTGGCTATCCCATCAGGAAGCCGTCACTGCACAAAGCCAATCATAAACGAGCAAGGCATTCCTGTCCCCCTGTCCTCAACCCCCTCCGCAACCTTGCGTATACATGCTCCTTGTATTCATGCAGCTACAGGGCAGGGAATGCCTCTGCTGCTTATGATTTGTCCAAAGCAGGTGACCGCTTCCTGGTGGGATACCTTAGGTGGGTTTGGACTTGGATCCAAACATGCCTGAGCTCATCCCTACTTGTGATCATGCCCCATTCTGTGTTATCCCTTTTGAAATGTGTGTTTTTATTCAACAGATCTTTTTCTACAATGTGAATATGGCACCTACTGAGCTGTTTGATGAGTCTGTATCAATCCGCGTAAGAAACAAATGATATCGCTGTATTTTAAAATGTTTGGACCATCGTTGTAGATCAGGAGATCATTGGCAGTGCCCTTAAGTACCTTTTATGGCCTTTTACTGAAATTAATGGCCAAAGCGTTATGAAATTGTCAAATCCCTTTTTATACTGCTTTCCCTGTCAGCCTATTTAAGTAAAGCAAGCCTGTACGCCACTGTGAAAATAAATGTCACTCCCAAGATCAGGCAAATATGACCCCCCCCCCCCACCCCCCGGCCAGAAAAAGAAGAAAAATAACACTGAACGCACTCTAATCACCCCTCAAAGAAAAAAAGAACTTCCTTTCTGCAGAGACCAAAAACAGTATTGTATCCTTTTTGGCACTTAAAGGAGAAGTATGGGGTTATAAAAAAAACAAACATACATACTGTACATGTAAGTGGATCCCAGACTTTCTCATGCATGGCCCTAGCGAGCAGCGGGGTCATCCTAAAAAATGGTACAAACTTCCAGGGCTAACCTATTTCCTAGCCCACGTTGTACTTCCCTGTGTGAGAATTGTGGCCAGAGACTGGACCCCTCCACCCTCCTGGCTGTGCCTGCTCAACCCCCTCACTCCCAGGGGTATCCACATGTTGACCCCTCATTCCTTCACAGGCTCAACAGCCAGGTTTACGCAATGTCTACTATGATACTTCTTGTGAAAACATTCACATGGAGGCCAAAATTGATCAATGAACAACTTAACTGCATAACGTTGAGTGGCAGCATAACCAATCCAGCTCCATGACCCAGAACAGTTCTCAACAGGAGATAGCTAAGAGATGCTTGCTTCTAAACTTTGGCTGGAGTGATTAGCCTGCACTTTCCCAGCTAGTGCCTCTCCACTTACTTCCCCTCCCTCCTTGACCATATAGGGACTCTGTGTTCTCCATGTAGGAGGTGTACAGGAGGAATCTACTCTGCCCTTTACCTGCCTACATACTCGCCTTTATGCTGCAGCTGTCCCACATTGACTTGAAGACTGAAAACTAAGCGATCAAGAACTGAGTGATCAGCAGTCACATGATCTTCTCGCCTCCCACTGTCAGTCTCCGGCTCTATGCTCTGCCCCGCCAGTGCTCACTGGAATACTGGGCTGGAGAGTGATGGGCACAGATGCCTCTGAGTCTCAGCCTTGCGCTGTCGATCAAGCAACTGGGTGGATCCTGACAATATGGCCAGGGTCCTTTCAGAATCTGGAGCAGGTTTGTAATGTCAGTTGACAGTGGACTATAGTCTGATATAAACTGACTCTGGGTCACAGGAGTGCAAAACTAAGTGTACTCCTGTGATCCAGAAGAAGTATGACCTAAAAACACTTTCCCCATACTTCTCTTTTAAAAAGTGATCTGTCCGCATACAAGATACAATGTTTCAGGTTTCCTTTCCTAGCTACATACAGTACAAAATACAATGTTTCACATCTACTCTATTCTGGATCATTTAGTTTACACAAGACACCAAAATATGCCTTCAATTACATTTATGATCCAGAAAACTTTATTTGCCCCATTTTTACTAAATTCCATCTCCATGTCCAATGAGAATGAATTTACTGTCTCATTGGACAGAGGAAAGG